CCCACCCCACCCTACCCTACCCCCAAGAACCCCAAGAAAAAATAAAAGGACAGAAAAATAGAACTGTCTTTTGAAAACTTCTTGGTGCCTTTTTGAATTAAAAGCCCTTGGACATAGCCGTTTAGAATATTTTTTGAAACTTGGCGCTAGAATGTTTGATATGTCCGAGGAATCACATGGGTTTGTTTGACAAAGTATTTTATTGGATTGTGGAGCAAAATAACTGTCTGAAGACACTTTTAGAAGCTTCTGACTACTTTTTCAAATTGTTAATTTATTCAGACAAGTACGAGGTTTTGTTCCCGACAGAGATCATAATCATAGTCACAGCAAAAGGACAATAAACATCATGTTTATCAGTTGGATATCCTTTCATTCGTTCAAAGGGGTGCTGCCACGTCACTCAGTTGAAATCTTTTCTCCAATCTAATAATAACATAACTTTCAAACAATTGTCTACCTGTCACCATCATCAGTATCAGAATGTGGACAAAGTCCTAAGTCAATTCTTAAATATTATTAAAAGCGTGGGGCTTTTTGTGATGTGGGATTGTGGGCAAAATAGGTGTCTTAAGATTTGGTAGTGACATTGGGAGAATGTTGTATGTTTTTGCACATAGAGGTTTCAAAATCAATTCTAAAAAATACTATTTTGCAGCATCATCCAAACTGAGGTTTGGTGGGGGCCCAAGAATTCAGTTGTGGGTATTGGAATCAGGTGTGATGTGGTTGGTTTTTATAGAATTTTAGTTTTTTACCATGGGTGGAGATATCATAAGTTTGGATAATACTAGGTTTGGTGGTCCAATACTTTTATCGTCAATTGATTGGAGAATAACGATTTTATTTTATTTTATTTATTTATTTATTTATTTATTTTTTCAATTTAAGATGGGGAATTAAGGTTTAGAGGGTGACAAGAGTCAATTCACATACTTATCCTTGACATCGTAGGAATAATAACGAGCATATCACTACGCGAGACAAGAAGCTTGTCATATACTCATATCACAACTAGAAATGTTTAAGTAGTAGTTTTGATACACAACGCACGTGAGTGATATTGAGTTCAAATAATAATCGAGCATTAATAAATTTAGTACATGAATAACATTTCAATTAGATTAAGTTACTAGATATAAAATAACTCAGTTGAATACAATTTATAACTACTATTCTTGAGCTATCCAAAGAGTGACTAAGCTCGAGATTTTCAATTAGACTTCTTATATCTGAAAAGTCGAGGAGTATTCAAGATTAACATGAATTCACAAACCACAATATTAACAATAATAAAAGTGTAGAGGAATAAAATCAACGTAAGAGATTTTTTTTCCGGTCAAAGCCCCAGAGATTCAACGATCACTTCTAAGCATTCATTAAAATGAATAAAGCTCGATTGCACTATAAAGCCCCAAAAAGAGGCAGCAAGTATACAATAATGTTCCAAAAATTACAAAGTAATAAGTCATAGAGACTTATCTTTTGAAGAACACCAAAAATCGGCCACTACTCCACACTAGAACCGGCTAAGATCACAAAGATCTCACAAACAACCAAACTGCCCTCTCTCAAATCACTACTACTGGTTCTTCTTTCACAGCAAGTAACGTTCCACCAAAGAACACATAAAACCAGCCACTACCGCTTACAAGAAGAGGCAGAAATCATTGAGGTTTCAAAAAAAAATCGGGCAACACTCGAATCTCACAGATTCGACTCAACCAAAACTAAAATAACACAACACCCATTTGGATCTACAGTATTACTTTATGTTAACAGATTTTATTTTTAGAAAATACTCCAAGAATCAAGCCCTAATTTTACTAAGATAAAAAGGGTTTTTCGAACAGAGAAGAGAAGAGAGAGAGAATGAGGAAACCAAAAATCTAAGAGCCACAGTGAATTATTGAACCTTCCAGAATGGAAGCCCATTAGTCAAAGACTTACCATTTTGATCATAACCATACGTTTTAATCAAACGGCTCGCATCTCCTTTTAGGTAGCAGAATCTGGGTGATAATGGAGCAGCCAATAATCAACAGCCACGTGGAACATCATTTAAAGCAGTTGTTGTTGCAAGAAACACGTTTTCTCCAATAAAATTTTGGAACACTTTCTCAACAATCTCGACCTTACTTCCAAAATTTAAACCTATAGTGCAGTCAGGAGCTTCACCAACATTTATAATTTCATTTGCTCTATTGTACCTGTACAATCAATGAACAGAATCAATAGATAACATCTTTAAATAGTTTTGAAACTTATTTAAAGGTATTACCTTAGTTCCCATATTTGATGGATTATATAAAGTGGGTATTTTTTTAATTTTCAGCAATCATTTTGAGATAATATCCCTTATAAAATGGTATTTTACATCAACATGTTTTGTTCTATCATGGAACATGGGATTCTTACTGTTGCCATATGCCTTCTTTAATGACATCAATGGTTGCAATATATTTAGCCTCGGTGGAAGATAGAGCAACAATTTTTTGTAACTAAGATTTCCAACCTATCACAGTACCACACAAAGAGTAAAAATAAGATGAAGTTAATTTTCTATTGTTTCTATTTCCAGCAAAATTAGAATTTGTATAACCCTTTAAAATTATCCCTTTTTTGTCCACTTTAAGCATCAAACTCAAGTTAGATGAACCCTTTAAGTATCTCAATAACTGCTTTAAAATTTCCCAATGAGTTTCACTAGGATTCCCCATAAATCTACTCAAAATACTAATATTAAAAGCCAAATCAAGTCCGATATAAATCATTAAGTACATGACTGAATCAATAGCATTAGCATAAGGTAATTTAGACATTCTTTCAAGTTCATCTTCAGTTTTTGGACATGAATCAGATGTTAAAATAAAGTGATTGGCAAGGGGTAAAGTCACAAGTTTACAATCAAACATATTAAACTTCTTAAGGATCTTATTCACATACTCTTGTTGACTTAAAAACAAGTAATCAGATTTCTCATCTCTTATAATATGTGTGCCAAGTATTTTCTTAGTGAAACCAAGATCCTTCATATCAAATTCTAATTTTAATTTGTGTTTGATATAATCAATTTCAGATTAATTGGCACTAGCAAGAAGTATAACATCAACATAAAGCACAAGATACAAAAAATCTTTACCTCCATTTCCTTTACAATAAAGACATGTATCATAATTGATTATACTAAATCTAAGCTTCAAGACGAATTAATCGAATCTTTTATACCGTTGTCTTGGAGCTTGTTTTAGGCCATACAAATATTTTTTCAACAAACACGCTGTTTTTTCAGGATTTCCTTTAATGAATCCTATAGGCTGTTTCATGTAAATCACTTCATCCAATTCACCATATAAAAATGCAGTTTTTACATCTAGTTGATCAAGTTTCCACTTAAATTGCACAACTAAAGCAAGAATGCATCTTATAACTGTTTCTTAAACAACGGGGGAGAAAATCTCATATAGTCCACACCCTCTTTTTGTGTGAAACCTTTGGCAACGAGTCTAACTTTGTATCTAACATTATTAGTGCCACATTCTCCTTCGTTTATTTTATAAATCCACTTGCAATCAACTAGTTTTTTATCTTTAGGTCTATCAACCAATTCCCAAGTTTTATTTTTGTATAGGGAAGACATCTATTCTTCCATAGCACTTAACCACCGCTTAGGATATTTAGATTTCAAAGCTTAATGATAAGAACTAGGTTTAGATTCAGTTTCTTCTTAGTAAGTGAACAAAGACACCAATTCATCACTATTAAACCTAGCTGGTGGTGTCATTTGTCTCCTATCCCTATCTCTAGTGAGCTGGTATTCATTTAGAGTTGTATTATTATTATCATATTGCTCAGGTTCAGCCAAGTCAGGCTCGTTTTCATTCTGGTCAGCCTCATTAGTTGCTGTTTCTAGGGGGACAGAATTGGTATTATCAATTTTAATAGACTCCACCTCAATTTGGACATCATTTTCAGTCAAATTCCCCCCTTTCCCTTCCAAACATGGCATGCATAACTCATTAAAGACCACATTCCTCCTTATAATAACCCTGCAAACTTTTTCCCCATAAACCCACAGCCTACATCCTTTAACATTTTCAGCATAACCTAAAAATACACATTTAAGAGATCTAGGTTCAAGTTTCCCTATATTTTGATGAGCATATGTAGCACAACCAAATGTTTTCAAGTAAGAATAGATCACGGGCTTTTGTGTCCACACAGATTCGAGTACATCAAAATTTAAAGCACTCGTAGGACTTCTGTTAATAAAATATGCAGCAGTTTTAACAGTTTCATCCCAAAATAATTTGGGTAAGCCAGAACTCAAAAGCATGCATCTAACTTTACTCAGCAAAGTCCTATTCATTCTTTCTGCAATGTCATTTTGTTGGGGTGTATAGGTCATAGTTCTATGTCTTAAGATGCCAAGCAACTTGCAAAAATCATAAAACTGATAATTGAAAAATTCTAGACCATTGTCTGTTCTCAAAGTTTTGATTTTTATATCAGTTTGATTTTCAATTTGAGTTCTCCAATCTTCAAATGTGGCAAATGTTTCATCTTTAGTTTTCAAAAGAAATATCGAAATTTTTCTTGAGAAATCATCAATTATAAGCAAGTGATACTTGTGACCAGACAATGTAGGGATGGATGCATGACCCAACAAATCAGCATGTAAGTATTCTAGAATTTGCTTTGATTTATGAGTACTAGTGAAAAAAGGTAATTTAACTTACTTTCCAATCAAACATTATTCACATTTAGACAAATCACCAATATTAGATTTTCCAAATACACCTTTATTTTGTAAAGCCTTTAACATTTTACACCAATGTGACCAAGTCTACAATGCCACAATTTTGCAAGATTAAAGTTATAATCTAAAACTATTATTGAAAGACCCAACAAAGGTTTTGCATTTAGAAAGTA